AACTTAAAAAGAAGCTTCGAATGAAGCAGAATCAAACTTGGGCTTTGAAAGCAAACATTAGAGCTCTTCAAGAAGAATCTAAGAAACTTAAATCGGGCTTACTGTTGCGATCATCAAACCTCGCAGATTCCATGCTTATGGAGCTACAAAAGAATAAAAACAGGAAAACCCGTGGCGCAAGGTTTTCAGATAAGATGCGCAACATGTCTATCATACTACATTATTGTTCCAGCAAGGCCTATCGGCAGATGCGAAAAAAATCACATTGCCCTCTGTTAAAAACAATAAAACGATGGCTATCCAGGTTGAACATCAAAGAAGGATTTTCGTCGAGCTGTAAAATCCTTAAATTCAAAGTAGCTGGTCTGCCAGAGGACGAGAAACTGGTCACTGTATTTATCGACGAGATGAGCGTTTCACAACGTCTAACATATGTTGCAAATTCTGATCCCGATTATTTCATGGGATTTCCCACGAAAGTTGGGAAAGAAACTGTGAATATGAACCAAAGAGCCATTACCATTATGGTGAAATCCATCAAATCAGGATTTAAGCAGGCCATTGGTTATTTCTTCAATACCAGTTCATTGAAATCAGAGCGGTTGCAGAATATCGTCAACGAAGGTTTGAAGCTGCTAACTGAGACAGGACTTGTTCTCAAATTATTAGTTTGTGACCGGAATTCGACAAACCGTTCCCTTTTCAAGCTTTACGGAGTCAGCATAGAACGACCATGGTTTCATTTTCATAAAAAGATAATCTATTGTGCATTCGACGCACCTCATTTGGCCAAATCGTCCCGCAATAATTTGCTGAAACATAACGCAGTATTTGAAGACAAAGTATGCAGCTTCCAACACATAGTAGATTTATTCAACGAGGACATAAAATGCTTCCCACGAATGGTTCCACGATTAACTGTAAATCCCGTGCAGCTGGCTCCATATGCTGAGATGAACGTCAGCTTAGCAACTCAGACACTAAGTGCATCTGTGAGCGCTGGTTTGAAGGCATATGTCAGCTTAAAAAAACTATCAAAAGCCTGTTTGAATACGGCGGCATACACTGAATGTGAAAATCGAAATCATTTTAGTTTTTTGTTTTTGAGCTTTTTTTAAACTCAAGTGTTTTTGAATGTTTTTTTCTTACCGTGTTTGTTAATCTAGTACCCAAAATTGGGTTAACGATTATTAGCGTGTTGAAAGTTTTCTTCCTGTCAGTTGCCAATGTGGTATGTAAAGAGAGATGGCAGACATAATCTGCATTTTCTTTTATTTGTTTGGATTACCTCTAAGCTTAATGTACATTCAAACTTTAGCAGACATCACGTTATTTAGGCATTTTTGATATCATATTATATTACGTTATTACGTTATTAATATCAACTATAGTCTGAACGTAGTATAATGTCATGACGTCAGGGTAGGCGTGTAACATGCATGAGAAAGCTAATACTGTTTGCCACACCTTTTATTTGACTAAACGTATGAATTGATTACACGCTTAAATAATAAGGCCACGAATGTTTTTAGTCACCTTTCTCACCGGGAGAGGGTATTACTTATGCGTCTTTTCAGAAATATATGGGAATTCTGGAAGTGAACCATATTGTTAATTTATAATATTTGCTGTCAGCTTTGCCGTGTGGATACATTGCGGTGGTATTATGGAAGAGAGGTACCACACCTTCGCTGTGATGAAGGTGTTAAGTAATATTACCTTTTGCTGCAGGGTTAGGGAGCGCATGTTATGCATCCATATAAGCTGCCGAATTTTGTTTGTTAGCGTATCCCAGTTTAGCTTCACCATCAGCCGCACTGAGTTTACAAAAATAACACCCAGAACCTCCACCTTCTCTGTATTCTGTAGTCCTGTGGATCCCCATTGATGAATCCGACATCGATTGCCACTGTTTTATTGCGATTTAGTTTTTCCCCGGCAACGACTTCAAAGCAGTCGAAGAGCTGAAAGATCCGTTCAATTGTTTGCGTTGATGTTGCTATCACCGTGATGTCGTCAGCGTACGCAACGCAAAGATCACCGCCACACACACGCTCCACCCGTGTGAGGAGGGGATGGAGGTAGAGCACAAAGAGCAGCATCGACATCGGATCTCCCTGACGTACGGATCGTTCTATTTATGCGGAACGACTGTGAAAGGTGCCCATTCACTAAAGCGAACCCCACACGGTAAGAAATATTGTCAATACTTACAAGTATTGACAATAATATTGATGATGTGAATACAGAAATATTGTCAATACCGATGTATTGACGTCAATATAAAATGTATTGACAATACGATTATTGTCAATAAAAGCAATCGTGTACGGTCCACATAACAGTCGTGATGAAGAGGTATCGGCCACTCGAGAGAGCCAGCCGACGAAATCATGATTGATACCCAGAGAGAGAAGGGTTCGATGAAGAAACTCATGAGAGACCCGATCAAATGCGTGATCTAGGTCCGAGATGGGAAATGACAGGTGGGCAGGAACTCACGGTCTCCCAGTGTTGGTGAGTTCACGAAAAGTTCACTATTTTGCCATACAGAAATTCAAAACAAAATTTTTAATCTGCGGATTTGGACAGTTTTTGACCTGTTTCATACGACTGGAAGGTGTATGCTGGTCACAAATGCCGTGCCAAACTGATTTCCTACGCAATTAATCAATCTATTATGTGAATTTTGCTAATAAACACGAGGAGCATTTCTTATAGCAAAACTTGCCATAACAAAATGGGCGGTTCATTTTAGTAAACAAACTAACACTTCTTCCGACTGTGTCACCTCTCTTACTCGCCTAGTATCGTCATAGTCTCATTTATTACGAAGTACAGCTCCCGATAGATGACGTCGAATGTTCGTTGGTAGAACTCTACCGCCAGGCCATCGGTACCAGGCGATTTTCGTTTCTGCGATGTTCGGATGGCATTTTTCAAATCGTCAATAGTGATCTCTGCCATTAGAGCATCGTTGGTTTCGTCGTTCTCGGGTACGACTCTCTCGTTTATAAACGTTTCTTCCCCAACCTGCCTTGCCTCTCCAGCCGCATACAGGTCCCTGAAGTATCGGAACATGTGTTGTTCGATCTCCAGGGAGCCTTGTATTTGTTCTCCTCGCTCGTTCTGCAGTTCTGTTTTTTTCCTTCGTCTGTCGCCCAGCTGGAAGGTAGATAAGCTCTCGCCCGCAACGAACGTCTCGTTGAGACGGATGAAATTTTGTGCAAAACGACGGCTGCAACATCAGCATAGCATTGGTGTTCAGCGTAATAGATTCGAAGCCAACACCATGCCATCCAGCTGGGGAAATTCCTCCGTTGGAGGGTCCAAAACTGCCACCGAATTTGAAATCGTCAATATTTGCGGCAGTCAAAAGGTGAGGGCGGAGGGACCAAAAACCACGTCCTTGTTCGCGGCCGAGGTCGGGAAGGCAAATTCGTGCTGTTAGAGCCTTGTAGTCTGAAAATGAACATACGTGCGTGGCAGCGCTTCGCAGATGCTCGCATAGCCCAGCACTGACATACATACGGTCGAGCCTGGATGCCGCATTGTGAGTGACGTTCGTGGGTGCGGGGGTTGTGGGCTACAGTTTTAACCATAATATGTCGTGTAGCTGCAGCTGCCGTACGGTCGCCTGGAGAGCTGGACTTGAGTTGGCACTCGTAGAGTAACTCGGACGTAGCACGCAGTTGAAATCACCGGCAAGGATGACGTGTTGCGTGTTGAAGCGAAGGTAGTAAGCGATCATGCCGTTGAATGGTGCGTAGACGTTGCAGAGAGTCGTATTTTGCACCCTCAAAGCAATGAGGCGGCCATCCAGGCTTTTCTCGACATGCGAGAATTGTATGTGGTCTTTTAGCGCGGTTGCCGTTCCCCGCCTCGCGTGATCCACATTACAGGAATTACAGAAGCCAGGGAGAGAGAACTGCTCATTCTCCACCTCCTGAAGGAAAACGATGTCCAGCGGCAGCGTTCGTACGAAAGACCGAAGTGCGTCGATTTTCGTTGCGTTCGTGATGTTGTTGATGTTGATAGTTGCGAGGTTATAACTGGAGAACTCAGCCATTAGGACGGTCGGTTCTCCACTCGAGGCTTCTTGCCTGATGGACGAGTGCGAAGATGCCTTTTGGAGCTTGATGAGCCTACAGATGAATCTGTCTCGTTTCCATCGGACTTACCACAAGCAGTTTTGCGATCCACTCCGTCACTAGCAGGGGGCTGTTGACTTGTAGAGGGGATCAACGGCCCGCTATCCGATGGGTGAAGCGAAGCCGAGGTAGAGGCTAACGTAGGAAAATTTTCATCAGTGACGACCGGTGGTGGTTTTCGTTGGGGAATTTTTTTTTTCGGCGGCTGCATACTTGCCAAGTTTTTGTTGATTTGGTTGGCACCAGGAATGACGAAGTTTAATATTGTGTTCGTTGGATTCGCATGCGGATGCGGTTTGCTTCGTTGTTTGTGAAGCTTTAGGTGATGGACTCATCTGCTTTGCGGCATCGGCATACGTCTTCTGCACGAGCAGTTTTTCATTCCGCCCGCGAAGTCGTTTGGACGTGGAGCGACACGGAACGGCTCAGCGATGAGCAGAGAGAAAAAGAAAAAAAAACACAGTTGGCACTGGTAACTGCTTGTGTTCGACTTCCACAGAACGTTAACAAAAGTTCAGCTCGGAAGTTGAGCGCTCACTAAGATCTCAAAACCATAAAAATCACTACTTAGGACCATTCATAAATGACGTAGCATATAGCCCTATCTTCCCCTTTAAATGCTACGTAATTTATACATGTTCTATTACTGTCTAACATTCCGACATTGTGATGCCCTGCCACGGTATCGCTACTGAGATCATATTATATATTTTTCTATGGTTGCCCTCTTGACGATAATAGGTAAGGTAATGCCGAAGCCGTGGTTTACCCTAGTTTTTGATCACCTGTTGCATCATGTTTCATCACAATTTTAAGTATCCACTTACGATTCACCTTCCCCACTTTCAGGTAATTTAGACATCTCTCAAATCACGCTCAAGGAGCTGGAAGCAATCCTCTCGGAGCATAACAGAAACCGCCAGGTCAAACTATCACTCGATGGAGCTAAACGCAAGCAACCCGCGGAACCGAAAAGAGTTCAGGATCTAGCAGATCCACCTTCGACTCCCCCACCGAAATCTCCCGAACTCAAACCGTCTCAAACCGCAACGAGAGACGAACAGCAAGTCGCAAAAATGTTAAACTTCGTTTCATCTTACAAACCAACCGCTTCGAGCTTGCCGAGCCAATCTCCGCCCCCATCCCAAGCGCCCATAGAGCTACCTCAGCTGAGCACGGTTGCCAAACAGCGAAAAGTTCCGTCATCCCGAGTGGCGCGTCTCGCCTCCTTCGGGGGTCTCTTCGCTGGCTTAGGACTCGGCACGGTGAGCGAACTTACCAAGGGTGCACTCGGACTGGGTGGCACTACGGACCCTAAGGAAGCCCTGTTCAGTCCGAACAACGCCGAACGGATCGTGGACACACTGTGCAAAGTTCGCGGAGCAGCACTCAAGCTTGGTCAGATTCTCAGTATTCAGGACTCGAACGTGGTTTCACCGCAACTGGTGAATGCATTCGAGCGGGTTCGACAGGCAGCAGATTACATGCCGGATTGGCAGGTGGAGAAGCAGTTGGTCGGCGAGCTGGGAGAGGACTGGAGAAAGAAGCTTGCCAGCTTTGATCAGAAACCGTTTGCGGCGGCTTCTATTGGCCAGGTGCACCGAGGAATACTGCATGATGGGACGGAAGTCGCCATCAAGATTCAATACCCAGGAGTGGCTAGGAGTATCGAAAGCGATATCGACAATCTAGTCTCGATGCTGAAGGTGTGGGATGTCTTTCCGGCGGGGATTTTCGTCGATAATGTTGTGGCTGTGGCCAAGCGCGAACTGACGTGGGAGGTGGATTATATAAGGGAGGCAGAATATACGGAACGGTTCGGAGAGATGATCCAGCATATGCCGGAGTTTCGGGTGCCCAAGGTGATAAAGAGTCTAACTTCGCAAAACGTACTGACGACCGAGCTGGTCCCGGGGGTTCCCATGGATAAGTGCTTCAATATGAGGTGAGGTTACAATCGATGAAACGGATTTTGCTTCAATCATTTAGTTCCATTCATTTCTAGCCAAGAACATCGAAACCATATCGCACGATGCGTGATGAATCTGTGTCTGAATGAACTGTTCACCTTCCGCTGCATGCAAACGGATCCGAACTGGTCGAACTTCCTGTACGATGCCGACACAAAGAAAATAATGCTGATTGATTTCGGAGCCACGCGTTTCTACCCGAAACCGTTTATGGACGATTACATGTTGGTAGGTTCTCTAGTTGATCGATTGGGAATTCTTCCAACTAAGAAACCTTTACGATTTCAGGTAATTGAAGCCGCCACCAGAAACGACCGGCAACGGATCCTGGAACTGTCCCGCAAGATGGGATTCCTCACCGGATATGAAACTCCAACCATGGAAAATGCTCACATCGATGCCGTCCTAATTCTGGGAGAAGTGTTCAGCGTTGAAGGCGAGTTCGAGTTTGGAAGGCAAAGCACAACGAAGAAGATTGCTTCCCTGGTTCCGGTAATGGTTGCGCACCGGTTGTGCCCACCACCGGAGGAAATATACTCCCTGCACCGAAAGCTGTCCGGTGTCTTCCTACTGTGTGCTAGGCTGAATGCCAAAGTCGACTGTAAACCATTGTTCCAAGAAGTGCATCAGAACTATACATTTGGATAAGCTTGTAAATAAAGAGGTTTTTTTTTTATTGGTTTAACCTAAGTTTATACAGCTAGCAATCAATCCTTTAACAATGCTTGTTTGTCAACCGTAAAACATTATATTGCAATAATCACAGAGCCAGGATGTCCGCGTTTCCGTCCGTCAGCATCAAACTCAACGTTACATTTTGACTCCTCTCTTTTCCAGTCCCGTCTCGACGCATTTTTTAATATCCACCGAAAGCTGACAACGATCTTCGTTCTCGACGGTGGAACACTCTTCTCCAACCTCCTCGGCAATTTTCATCTTTTCATCGTCCTCCTTGAACATCATTCCACACAATTCCAAAAATCCTTCCTTGTTGAATTTCTTCCCATCGGAAATGTTAAACTGTTGCTGACAGCACGAGAGAAAACACTTTTGCACTTTCGTTTCCGGTGTCTTATCCTCGAGCATGGCTTCCACATCGTCCTCAGATGCTCCCTCTTGTTTCATACACTCCTCGGTCATACTACGCAGCATCTGCTTGGCTAGTTCTTTCTTTTCGTCGTCCGAATCATCCGCCTGACGAATAGCAGAACGAACTACCTCAGACAAATACTGATTATAGTTCAAATTTTAAACGTAATTCACCTTAGCGCATGCCACGACAACTAGAGCCACCATAACGATTCTGCAGTATGTGGCTCCCATCTTAAGGAAGCCTCCGGGCGATTAAAATGGTATGAAAACGAGAACTGCCCGTTGGTTGTGCTCAATTCGTAAATTTATACCTTAAATGGTAATTTGCAGCCTTCAATATCTATATCAGTTGCATGACTACACGCCGTTCCACGGTGGCTCGATCGAATCGCGGTGATGGCTTTCTCGCAGAATGAACATCCTGTTTCCGGATGAAGCTCTGTGTATCATGCCCTCATTACATAGAATGATCATATCGTAATGAGACAAATGCAATATTGACTTGTTAAATAAAACTCGTTGATTCGCTGGCTTGGTACACAGTGCAGTATCATATATTCGACTGCCTATGAACTTTTCAGCTCCGTATTCAAAGTGTCGTTATAAAATATATCTTAAATTCAGATTCTTGGTGGAAAACCTTTGTCATTTGTCAATATGATAATTTGTACGTACAACTTTGTGAGGTCCTAACAAATGGTTAATTGGTTTAATGTGGAATTTCTTATGATCCTGGCCATCAAGATCGTAACTGTCTTTGGAAGGGGGTTATTCAGCAGATCAAAGCCTTTTGGCTGGTGGACGGTGTTATGTCTAGTTTGACCAAATACGCGCCCCCTGTGGAATTAACGATTTTCACTACCTACTTAGGGTAGATGGGGCAGTTTTGGCCCTAGATCCAGTATTTGAATCTAGTGAGAATTATAACGAATTGTAAGAAAACCTGCATGAATTGGGCTTTGGAATACTGTAAATTTCAATATAGCAACGTGTGTTAAGTGAGTATACAAAATTTCAGTACACTGATAAAATTTCAAAGATTATTTTTATGTGTCCCACACATGAATTTTTGCAATGTGATCAACAAATGATATCTATGTATCGGACACATACTTAATATGTGTATACATAAAAGCCATGTGTAACCACACATACTATTCATTTGACTCATAAATTTCATGTGTGCCTCTGGGTGGATTATGTTTATGTGTGATCACATGAAAATCATGTGGAATTTCACATGGAAATTCGTCAATAAAAATGTGTGGAATTTTATTAGTGTACACAATTCTTCAGTTTAGCGGCTTGAAATTGATTTTCAAATAGTGCTTCCCTAAGATGGTCGGTTTCTTAGCCGTACGGCTAACCGTTGAGCACACGTGTTTATTTCAGTTACCGTGGGGACATAATTTGTGATTAGTCCCGGTCCTTTTCAAATTGTATCATTATTTATGTACGGTCCTTATATTTGGAATGACGTTTCACATTCATCTAGTGATGGCCGATTTTCATTCGAATAATCGATTAATCGATTAACGAATCGAAAAGTAAAATATTTGTAATCGGTTATATCATGCCGACATAAGCATTAACTTCTCCAGAGGATCATCACCCATCGTTTCAAACATGTGCTACACTCTCATTGTAGGAAAAATGACAGCACAGCGAACAAAAAATAATCGATTAGTTGTTTATCGAGTAATTAAAAAATGGGACATCTCTGATTTTGGTGTGATTGTTTTGATAAATAAGAAGCGCAAAATTTCATTTCTACCGAGGGGGCAGAAAATCCTCAAAATTACCTTTCATTCGGGAGGTATTCATTGGATGAAAGGGACCGTGAAAGAGGACACTAAAATAGAAAGTTTTTCTACCGACAGTTTCATCTTAGTATTTTTCTTTGGTACGGCTAATAATCGGAAATTTTGATTCACAATACTGTCATCAAAATATTGATGTTCTTTATGCTCAAGTATAATGAGAATTAATACGATTTTCCGCATAATCTCAAGACTTTATAGTGCGGCCAAAAACTTGTAATCATAGTGTGCGCTAAATGCAGTTTTGAGTGTGAGGATTTTGACAGTGCGGGTTTGTCATTTTCAACCCAAGGGGTTGGTCACTCTACACAGTGTGCCAAAATCAAACTTGGGCGCACCCGGGTGCAGTCATTGGCGTTGTTTGGCACCCATGGTTACAATTTTTATGATCTTTAAAGCTACTGGCAACACTGACCTTTTTCTGCGCCTGCGCAGTGTGCATATGTCAAAATTTGTTATTGATGTTGCCACTCCTAAGTCAAATTAGTTTCAAAACAACCGTGAATCTCCACCAAGTCTCGCCATGGATTCTCAAAACCGTTACACACGTGACGGCAGTCGCATCCACATTTTTTCCCAGACGAAGAACAGCTAACAGCAGTATCTTGACCTGACCGAGGTTTCCGGCCATGGCTACACGAACTAGCGATGCAGCTCCCACGGCTGCGGCTGCTTCCAATGCTGCTGCTGGGCCGTCTTTTTTTTTTTTTTACGAATTTTAGAGCAGACGGACCAGCAGAAGGAACAGCAGCAGCAGCATTGGAAGCAGCCGCAACCGTGGGAGCTGCATCGCTACCCAACAAACAATTTTAGCTGCAGACTAGCTTATACAGGCAAAAATTAGCTGTATAAGCCAATTTTCGGCTGTATAAGCTAATCTGCAGCTAAAATTGTTAGTTGGGTAATTCGTGTAGCCGTGGCCGACGTTGGAAAACTATACCATCCGACCATTCGAACTGTTCGAATACGACCATGGCGGTGGCTGCTTCACCAACCATTCCATCGTCCTTCATATAATGTTGGAGGCAGTGATGGCATAATCCTCACTCAAATGATTTTGTTTCGCTCTCAACCCAAGTAACAATTTCCAGTTGAAGAAACGCTTTCGTTTTGATTTTGTTCAGCTGCATGTTGAATAATAATTGCACAATGTGTTAACCACAACTTTTATAAAACCCTTGTTTACACTGGTTTGGAGAACCTATACAACTGCAACACAAAGGTGTTGTCTAACGTATTCAGTAAAACGTTTATCCAAAATCAATTTCTTGTTGAAGAAACGCTTCCATTGTGATTTTATTCAACTGCATGCTGAATAATAACTGTACAATTTGTTTATTACAACTTCTGTAAAACTCTTGTTTACACTGGTTTGGAGAACCTGTTCAACTACAGCATTATATGTATACGCGGTATAGGAGTAGAAGCAACTTTTATACAACGGTTATAGATACATATTAAACTCAAGCTTTATTATTTTGGTGAAAGCTCTTATACAACGTTTGTAGACACTTCTTGACAGCTGCTTTGAAATTTAGTAGAGAGTAAACCTGAGAGGCGTTTGTTGCACTCTTTTATGACTCCTAAATAATCATTGTACAGCCAGCGGTGAAAAGCGTTTATAGCACTTTTCAATGACTCCTTAACAACCGGATAGAAGCAACTTTTATGCAACGTTTATACAGTGACCGGCATAAAAAAAGATCCACCGGCTCACTTGTTAGATAAATCGGTTTTCTTTCCCAAGCACTTTTTAAAAGCTATATTATTGCACGTTTTAAGCTTGTTCTAGTACCACTTGTTATAGTACGTGCAAGAGTTTCAATATACGAATCAGTTCAGGTCAACCACTAACGAAATTCAAACGCACCCCTTGTTTACGGTATGACATAAAAAAAGATCCACCTGTAGAAAAAAAATTTGCCGTGTAAATTCCGTTGACATACCCCTCACAATTCCTAATGTTGACATTTGTTTATTTACATTCATCGCAAATCTCTGCTGCAGCGCTGAGAAGTAAACGTATTGTGCGAAAGTAACGAGTTTTTGAAAGTTCAAATATGGGTGGAAAGAAAATCTTGTATCTAATTCGGAATCTAATCGTTCGTGAATTTGAGAAAAACGAATCTCAGCGCAAAATTGCCGAAAAATACTCTGTGAGTCGCGGTGCGGTTCAAAAGATAATTTTGAAGCACCAACGGGTTGGAAGCGTTGCAGATCGATCTGGACGAGGACTTAAACGTAAATCTGATCACCGAGAGGACTCCAGAATCATCCGGGAAATCAAAAAGGATCCGTTTGTTACCATCCGCGGAGTGAAAGAAAAGTTGAACCTAACAATATCCGAACGAACAATTCGACGCCGCATTGCTGAGCACGGCTTAAAGAGTTATTTTGCTCGGAAGCGGCCGTTCATCAGCAAGGTCAATAAGGAAAAGCGTCTGAGGTTTGCAAGAACCCACATCAATAAGCCCCTGGAATTCTGGAAACGTGTTATCTGGTCAGATGAATCGAAGTTTGAGCTTTTTAACAAAAAACGACGTTTGCGAGTATGGCGGAAAAGCGATGAAGGGCTCCAGGACAAACATCTTCAAGCAACCATGAAGCACGGTGGAGGAAATATTATGGTCTGGGGTTGTTTCTCATGGTTTGGTGTGGGAAATCTGGTCCTGATCAATGGGATCATGACAGCGGAAGGCTATATTGACATTCTTAACGAAAATTTGGAAGAGTCTTTGCTAAAAATGGAATTGGAAGACAACTACATCTTCCAGCAGGATAACGATCCCAAGCACACGGCAAAGAAAACGCTCGCATTCTTTCGAGCCTGTCGCATCAAACCCTTGGAATGGCCACCCCAGAGCCCTGACTTGAACCCAATCGAGAATCTCTGGGCAATTCTCGATAACAGAGTGGAAAAGACCGGCGTAACCAACAAGCAGACATATTTTGCTGCCCTGGAGAAGGCCTGGAATGAACTGGATCCACAGCACCTCAGAAACCTGGTCGAAAGCATGCCGAAACGACTGAAGTCCATTATCGAAGCGAAGGGAGGTCATATTAACTACTGACCAGCTGATCATAATCGATTTTGTATGATTATAACACATGAAACATAAAATGGATCTTTTTTTATGTCATACCTCAAAAAGTCATGCGAATTGAATTTGTTGTTTATTTTAAGTTTTGGAATAAAAATTACCAATATCGTTGAGTCAAAATAAACTTTTGTTATTTAGTTATCTGAGACATAAATCATATTAATTGACTTTTTGAAAAATAAATGAGTTTTACATGCATTTTTACATTCGACATCGGTGGATCTTTTTTTATGCCGGTCACTGTAGATACATATTTAAAGTCAAGCTTTATTGTTTTGGTGAAAGCTCTTATACAACGTTTGTAGACACTTCCTGACAGCTGCTTTGAAAT